CGCCGCTACTACCGGAAATGCAGACCCAGGCAAAATGGAGTCCGGCAGAAAACTACTTCCGGTCTGGGAGCCCGGCCCTAGAGTTCCGTCTCCGACGTGAAGCTGGGCGTTCAGAGAGGGGCGGGGCCTCGGGCGGAACTAACAGCCGACGGAACCGCCAGAGCTGTTGCTCCTCCTCCTCCTCTTTCCCAGTCCCCGCCCCGCCCCGCCCCGCCCGGCCATGTCCCCGGCCTGTAAACTCCGCCGCCGGCTCTGCCTCGGCTTTCTGCCCTACAGCCACCGGGCATGTTTCGGTTTTTCCGTGAACTTGCTCGAAGTGCTCCTGCCCCCGCGCCTATGCATTTGCTGTAGCCTCTGCCTGAAATGCTAGGCATCCGGGCATGTGCACCGCTCAAGCCCTCACCTTCAGGATCCATCACATTTTCCCACTGAGAACTTCCCTGCCTTTCTCTTTAACACGAATAGCTAATGTACTATATGTTTTTGTTAGTTACTTTGCTATCCCTCCCCATTAGAACGTAAATTCCAACAGTAAGGATGTCTGTGTATGGTTCATGGCTGCAGTGCCTACGTCACTGCTAAGCACAAAACAAGGAGTTAATATTTAAATGAATCAATCCCCAATCCAGTCCAGTGACTTTTTAAAAATATATTTTTATTGATTTCAGAGAGGGAGAGAGAGATAGGAACATCAATGATGAGAATCATCGATTGGCTGCCTCCTGCGTGCCCCTTTACTGGGGATCCGGCCCGAGCCTGTGCCCTAATCGAACCCAGAGACTCTTCAATCCGCAGGCCAACACTCTATCCACTGAGCCAAACCAGCTGGGACCAGTTCCAGGGCTTTTGGAAGTTCTACATGTTCAGGTTTTTCAAATTTATTCCTTTAAACCTGGGCTCTTCATTTAACTCTTGGCTTTAATATCCAGCCACCTGCTTGACATGAAATGTCTAAATAGCTAATAAATTTAACGATGAAAACTAAATTTTTGAGTCTAATCACTCTTCTTCCCCAAACCACTGCTTACCAGCATTTCCCATCTCAAGTTTCTCGGGTTAAAAATCAAAAAGACAAACTTGGTAGCATCCTTGATCCCTCCCATTCTCTCTCATCTCAATCAATCAGCAAATCCTATGGACCTCACCTTCAAAGGTTCTAAAATCTGACTGTTGTCACCTGCCCCACTACTACCATGCTAGCCTAGCCACCATCATCTTTGTCTTGGATCACTGAACGAACCCCTAACTAGTCTGCTTCCTTTCTTGCTCTCACAGCCAGAGGGATCCTTCCATAATGTAGTGGGATTATATCAGATGGTGCCATTGCCCTGCTCTCCACTTCCCAGTAACTTCCCAGCACACGCAGAATAAAATCCAGCCCTGCATCCCTCTCCGGCCTCATCTTCAACATTCCCCTCATTCGTCATCCTCCAGCCATACCAGTCTCCTTGTTGTTCCCCAAAACCCAGCAAGGAAAGTTTCTAACTCAGGGTTTTTTAATTTTAATGTGTTTTTATTGATTTTTTTTAGAGAGAAAGGGAGAGGGAGAGAAACATCAATGTGAGAGAGAAACATCCATCCATCAGTTGCCTCCCGTACACAACCAGGGGTTGAACCCAAAACCGGGGTATGTGCCCTGACGGGGAATCGATACAGCATTCGTTCAGTGTATGGATCAATGTTCAACCAACTGAGCCACACCAGCCAGGGCTTTGTAATTTAATTCTCACACCCTAAAATGTATGTTCTGTCCCATTTTTGTCAACATGTGGAGGACAAGTGATGGAGGCTCAGAGAGATATATTATCTTGCTCAAGGTGGCAAGAACAGGAATATAGTACCACCTAGTTCCTCAGCTGCTTTCAAGTTACCCTGCCTCCTAACATATCATTCATGCATACATTTTAAATTATTTTGTACTTACTAACATCTCACTGTCAGTGAGATACAAAGTCCCTTCCTTGAAGGACTTTATGTTCCAGTGAGAAAGACAGACAGTAAACCACATGAATAGGTATAAAGAGTAACATCAGAGTGATAGGAAAACTAAATAAAGTAGGGTAGGGGGGTTGAAAGTGATGGGTTGTAACTTCAGTTAGATGCTCTGGGAAAACCTCTCTGAAGCGTGCATGTGAACAAAGACCTGAATGAAGGACATTCCAGACATTCCTTACAAAGGAACTCATGTAATACGTGGTCTTTGGTGACTGCCTTCTTTCACTTAGCATCATGTTTTCCAAGCTCATCCATGTTATGGCACATATTAGTACTTCATCTCTTTTTTATGGCTGAATAGTATTTCATTGTATGGATATAACGTTTTTGTTTACCCATTCATTAGCTGATAGACATGCTGCAGTTTCCGCCCTTTGGCTATTATGAATGATGCTGCATTTAAACATTTGTGTGCAAGTTTTCATGTTGACTTATGCTTTCATTTCTCTTGTGCATATACCTAGGAGTGGAACTGTTGGGTCATATGGTAACTCAGTTTAATTGTCTGAGGAACTACCAGACTGTTTTTTCTTTTCTTTTTCTTTAGGTTTTCAAAAAAACACAACAGCTGGTGTGGCTCAGTTGGTTGAGCATCATCCCATGCACCAAGAAGTCGCTGATTTGATTCGTCAGGACACATGCCCAGGTTTTGGGCTAGATCCCCAGTATGAGGCGTGCAGGAGGCAGCCAACTGATGCTTCTCTCTCATTGGTGCTCCTATCTCTCTCTCCCTCGCCCTTCCTCTCTCTCTAAATATCAATACAAATATATTTTTAAAAAAATAGATCAATGATCCTAAAAATAACAGAGGTGGACTTCTTCCTACCTCCCAATCTACTATCATTTCCCTTCACCAAGGAATCACCTGGGTGGTCCTGACGCCCAAACCCTACCTCTCAGCTCCCCCCTAACCCACTACACATCCATGCTTTCTCCCAGTTTCTGATCTGTCTCCTTTAAGAAAATAAAAATACCCCCTCCCCAACTTGCTTAAAAATAATATTCAAAGATTAAAAATGGTACTTATGTTTGTCTAAAAAATAAACACTTTTAATGTTGAAAATCTCACTCTTCCTCTAGGGCTAGTTGAGCCTCCGGGGTACCTCCCTGCCTCACCCCAGGAGGCCAGCAGCCACTTGGTGCTCCTTGGAAATTTTCAAGAATTAATTTCTTCCAAATTTCCCCTGAAGTCACAAATTCCACACACGGCTCGCATAAACATGCTGCCTTCATTTATAGGCACTGCTCTTTGGCTCTGGAAACCTGATCCCTTTGTGTCCACTAGACCACATGCTTCAGATTCCCTTTGATGTAGCTGAGGATTTGCTGGACTCGGTGGGGCTCATTGCGGTCTGGCCGGCAGCTTGGCGTGATTTCCAGCACATAATCAGGACCATATGCTGTGAAAAACTCATGATCTGGGATCTCAGAGGAGAGTGTTTTCCCGAGGATGACCCCAGTCAAGTATGTCCAGCATCGAGCTGTGTTGGCAAGGTTATAGCCTCCTCCTCCCAAAACGAGCGTTGCCAACTGCCACTGAAGGATGTACTTAAGGCACCTGCCAATTCCCACCGGAGTCATGTTAAAGGAGCACATCGGATCCCCAGCTATTGTATCAGCTCCCAGCTGTAAGACCACCGCTTTGGGGTTAAAGGCCATGTACACCTCCTTCAGTACACTTTCACAGATGTGGTAATACCTCTCATCCTGTATGCCATCTTGAATGGGCACATTCACACTGTAGTACCGTCCCTTCCCTAGGCCAACATCAGACACATCACCTGTTCCTGGGAAAAACCCCGGGGAGAATTTGTGCAGGGACACGGTCATGACTTTGGAGGTGAAACTGAAGGCATCTTCTACACCATCTCCATGGTGCAGATCCAAATCCACATAGAGAACACGGTCAAATTTCCGTCGCAATCGTAATATTCCCAGGACAACATCATTGAGATAACAAAACCCAGACGCTTCGTCTTTCTTTGCGTGATGCCACCCTCCGGACCAGTTAATGGCTACTTTGCACATTCCATCAATCAGGCACTGGGCAGCTGTGATCGTAGCCCCTCCCACAGCTGCCGCGTAGTCAAATATCCCTTCGGTAGCTGGACAGTCATAGCCCAGGCCATACTCCGTAGAATCCGGATGATCGTCATCTCCTTCTCGGCTGACCATCTGGAGGTGCTGCAGATAGGCATCCGTGTGGAAGGTGGCCATCTCCTCCATGGAGGCCACTTTGGGCTTAACTATCCTCATTTGCTTGTGCAGTGCATATGCTTCAATCAAAGAATGTACCATACTGGCCCGTTTGGGGACCTTGGCCAGGGAATCGCACATGCTGACATACTCGGGACTGTAGATGTAAACTGGGGGCAGTGACTGCCCACTGTCCACAGGTTCCTCTGGCTCCTCCATCTGGAGCCACACTGTCCAGATCCTGCTTTTTATGAACTCAGCCCAGGCTCCGGTTCCTGCTCCTCTGATCTGCTGCAGCGGTGCTCCCTGATCAAGAGTCACTGTCCTCCATTCCCATCCAATTGAAGAAAAACATGGGCATTTAGTGACCACAGTTCAAAAATGAGAGGTGGGCAGATATAAAAGCCCTGCCGGACTGTTTTCCAAAGTGGCTGCACTGTTTTATACTCCCACCAGTAGTATATGAGGGTTCTGATGTCTCCACTTCTTCATCAGGACTTGTTAGGTGACTTGGATTGACCATCATAAGGTGTGGGAACTGGTATCTATCTCGTTGTGGTTTTGATTTCCATTTCCCTGATGACTAATGATGTTGAGCATCTTTTCATGTACATACTGCCCATTTGTATATCATCCTTGGATTGTCTTTTCTTATTGAGTTGTTAAGAGTTCTTTATGTATTCTAGATATAAGTCCCACATCAGATATATGATTTATAAACATTTTCTCTAATTCTATGGATTGTCTTTTCACCTTAGTTTTTAATTGTGATAAAGTCCAATTTATCTATTACCTTTTTTGTTGTTGTTTTTCTTGCTCATGCTCTTGGTGGCGTATCTAAGAATCGTTGCCAGGTTCAAGATCATAAGGATTTGGTCCTATGCTAGTTAATTTGTATGTATGGCATACGGTAAGGGTTAAACTTTATTCTTTTGCAGGTAAATATCCAGTTGCCCCAGCACCATTTGTCGGAAAACCTATTCTTTGCCCACTGACTGGTCTTGGCACCCTTGTGGAAAATCAGTTGACCAAAGACACATGGTTTTATTTCTGACTTCTCAATTCTAGTCCATTGATCTGTATGTCTATCCTTATATCAGTACCATTGCTTTGTAGTAAGTTTTGAAATCAGAAAATGGGAGTCCTCCTAATTTGTTTTTCTTTCACAAGATTGTTTTGGCATTCCAGGTCCCTTGTGATTTCATATAAATTTTAGAATCAGCTTGTTGATATCTACAAATAAGAAAAAAGAGGTCATGAATTCCAGAGCATGGGGTTAAGTAGGCTATTCATTTGGCCTTTGATAAAGTGTTCCCAAAGTTCAGTCTAGATCAGCAATTTTCAACCTTTTTTATCTCATGGCACACATAAACTAAAATTTCTTCAGCAAACAAAAAATGTATTTTTTACCACTCTGACAAAAAAAATAGGTATATTTTTGATTCATTCACACTGGATAGCTATTGTTCTGTTAGCTGTTGTCATTTTCTCCTTGACAATCTAAGGGAAAAGAGGTCGGTGCCTCTGACTAAATAGTCAGGAATTGCATGTTTTAAAAATTCTTCTGGCACACTGATTGAAAATTGCTGGTCTAGATCAAGGATCAGCAAACTTCTTCTGTTGAGGGTCAGATAGTATTTTAGAGTTTATGGGCCATATGGTCTCTGATTCAATTACTCAACTCAACCGTTGTAGCATGAAAGCAGCTATAAACAATACATAACAAATGTGTGCCTGTGTTACAGTAAAACTATTTATAGACACAGATATGTGTCACAAAATATTATTCTTCTTTTGATTATTTTCAACTATTTAAAATGCAAAAACCATTCTTAGTTCGTAAGCCTTACAAAAACAGGCTAGAATCGGCCTTCAGGCTATAATTTGCTATCCCCAGGTCTAGACCATTAGATTTTTGTGTTTGGGTTCAGGTCCAGAGCCCCAGCTAGTATTAGCAATAACTTTGACTAGCATTGTTTCTTTGAATAAACGCCATCAAAAGTTCATGTCTTTGAACTACATACACAATTCACATCTGTATTAGTTTGGGTAAAATGAGGAGACATAAATCACACAGTATTTTAAATAGGAAATCGAACATAAAGAATTATTATACAGCACTGGGCAGTATGGCGCAATTGGTTGGACCATCGCCCTATGCACTGAAAAGGTTGCTAGTTAGATTCCTGGTCAGGGCACATACCTAGTTTGCATGTTCAATCTCTGGTTGGGGTGCGTAGGGGGGCAACCAATATTTTTCTCATATACTGATGTATCTCTCTCTCTCTCTCTCTCTCTCTCTCTCTCTCTCTCTCTCTCTCTCTATTTTCCCCTCTAAGATCAGTAGAACATATCCTTGGGTGAAGATTTTTAAAGTATATATTATACAAAGATAGGAGAGTAACTATAAATATTGAAAGAAAACTCAGCTGAGGTAGAGTTCTAAAGAAGGATACACAGGGAAGGAGAGGTCCCTCCCGAAGACTGGGGATCAGCCCTCGCTGGAGGAGTGGCTGCAGCCCACTGATGGTAGAGAAGTGGGGGTAGGGGTGGGGGGGTTGCACACGCCAGAGCTGGCAAGCAGGAATAACCGTCTGGAATGCAGGCCAGCCAAACGTGGTAGGCAGGTACACAGAGGGAGCTGGATGTGGACAGAGAACCAAGATGTTGATGTTGATACAAAACCTGGACCACGCAGTGTCTACATCTGAAGAGCTGCATCAAACAAACCTATGAGGCACAAGTGAGCTGATGCTGATGGGCAGGTGAGCAAAGACAGTCAGATCACTGCTATAGGCGCTGCCAGAAATGGAGACTGGAAAGCTGAAAGAACCCAGGGTACTTCTGTGCACAGCTTGAGCTGGGGCAGCTAAAGGTAACTGCCAGGACCCTGGAGTGCATGCACAGAGAGCTGAAGAGAGGGTCTGGGGAGTAGCAACCAGCGAGGGGAGTTCTGGGCCTCAGCACACGATGAAAGTCTGGCTGCTTGCCAGAAAGCCAGTCCAGCCCTAGACTGTATGCCCATGACCTGTGCTGTTTGGGCTCCCGGCTAACCCACCATTGCCCGAGTGGAGAGCTGAAGAAAACAAAGGATGGCCAATCAGTGGAGAAAGCTGTGTCCTGCAGGGATTTAGCATGAAGAAACTGCGCCGGTCTGGTCAAGGAGTGGGGGGGAAAGGGTACTCCTGGGACCCTGGTGAACTGAGCCAGAAAAGAACCTCCTTCCTTCCTAATTTGCTCCAGAGCCCACTACTGATAAACCTCATGCCAGCTGACAAAGGAAAAGAACTTCAAGGGCCCAGATCCATTTTCACAGATCAGACTACAAGAGGTGAATGTAGAGCTGAGACAATATATTAATAAGTGGCACCATTCCACACACACACACACACAAACATATTCTACCACATAGGTCAGCACAATGTAAGACTTAGATGGGGAAAGAGGATAGCCAGTTCAACCGACCCTCCAGTAAGCCATCAGTAGGACATCCCCTGAGGTCTCCCAGATTGGAGAGGGTGCAGGTCAGGCTGAGGGACGCCCCCCCAACCCCCCGCCACCACCCACATGCACAAATTTCATGCACCAGGCCTCTAGTTCTTATGATAAGCACAGATAAGATGATGTTGGCTTTCTGCTTGGATTCTTGGAGTGATGAGAACTTTTATCTTTGGCAAAAATTTCTCCTGTTGGAAAGCTGCAACACCAAGGACTTCCAAAACAAAGCCTATGATTCCTGTCTTCTCTTTTAGTTCACATTACCATCGCCATAGTTGTCCTATAAATTTTGTCTGGGCAATGGCAACACTTCTGACTTCCAAATTTATCCTAGTCTCAGCGCTGTCCTTCGCGCCTTCTCTTCCTCTTAATTTTTCTGTTTCCCTGTATCATCTCTTCCAGATTTTCACCCCTGTTCGGCAGAAAACCTGATCTGAAGTGTTTTCAGGCATACCTCCAATATTACCAAATTTATTTACACTAAGATTTTCACAGCTTGGGCCCCTCTCTCAAAAGACGAGTAAGCCTTGCCCTAGCCTGTCTGGCTCAGTGGATAAAGCATCGGCCTGTGGACTGAAGGGTCCCAGGTTCAAGTCTCATCAAGGGCACATGCCTGGGTTGTGGGCTCAGTCCCCAGTACGGGGCGTACAGAAGGCAGTTGACCAATGATTCTCTCTCATCACTGGTGTTTCTATCTCTCTCTTCCTCTCCCTTCTTCTCTGAATAAAAAATATATTTTTTTAAAAAGACAAGCAAGCCTCTGTTAATGGCAGTGTCTACTAGGCACAGGGAAAGTGCAGGCCTGCTTTCACTCTAGAGCAGTGATGGAGAACCTTTTGAGCTCAGCATGCCAGCATTTTGAAAAACCCTAACTTAACTCTGGTGCCGTGTCACATATAGAAATTTTTTGATATTTGCAACCATAATAAAACAAAGACTTATATTTTTGATATTTATTTTATATATTTAAATGCCATTTAACAAAGAAAAATCAACCAAAAAAATGAGTTCACGTGTCACCTCTGACACGCGTGTCATAGGTTCGCCATCACTGCTCTAGATGATTAGAACAGACACTGGAAAGAGGCTGGTCAGATAAAAACTATTGTAAATGGCATTAAAATTCACATTAAGCTCTCTTCCTCCCTGACAAAAAAATAACCTAGTTCCCAAAGGAAGTGAGGGGTCGGGAAAAGGGGAACAAATGGCCAGCAGCAGTGAGGATTCTGCAGAACCAACTCCTTCAAGCTGGTGAGCAGGGTAAGCTGGGGCCCGCCCTGTGGTCTGTCTACATCAGCAACAGATGAGGCCGAAGCCTGTCCCCAGAGCACCTGGCTTTGTGAGATTTTCCACTCCTCAGCTGGAGAAGGGGTGTTTATATCCACTGCAGAACACTGGTGGATGGAACTCTAGGAATCTTGCTTCCTTTTTTGAGGATCCTAATGTCATGTTTCAACCTATCCCAAGTAATTTTCTTTAATTAAAGGTCAGTTGAGTGCTTGGCTATTCTCCAAAATGATGTCCAGATTAAAATTAATGAACAGGGTATACTCTTTTTTTTAAAGGAAGGTGCTGGTTTTCTTGTTTGCATTATTCTCTCCCAATAGCAGGACATGGAGGAAGGGCCTTGGGCTCATCGGGAATGCAAACCCTAGAGATGACATAGCCAAATACATTCTTCCCTCTGTGGCTTCTAGTTCTGGCCAGAAGCTAAGAGTTGATGTGATAGGGGTAGTTCTGGGAAAGGAATACTAGGGGAACACTCCCATGCGGACACCTCCCCATCACCAGAGCTGACCCAGGACCCACTGCAGAGCTGAGCGCACAGCTGAAGGAGTGAGCAGAGGCCTTGGAGCCAGTGACTCCTTCAGACTCTTCGACTGCCCCCTCCTTTGATGGGGTGTTAAAACCACTCTGTGCTTTTGCTTTTCAAAGCCTGATGTCCAATTTGTGACCTGGTAAACCCCAACTAAGCAAGCAAATTTGCTGGAGTCTAGGCAGACCCTCCTTCTAGAGTGAAGTTATTGGCCAAGGACATAGAAATCAGAGCCAGGGAGAGTAGAGTTGTCAAATTGAGCAATCTGGGCTCTGAGGGAGGGGGACTAGGAAAGTGTGTGGCCAAAGGGCCGGGTCCTTGGGCTGAAAAGACAATGGTGGTGTATGGCTAGGCTGTCTTGGACCCATTAGTAAAAGGATGATGTGGGGTGTCATTAGCAAGACCCTTGGAGGGCTGTGGGGACATGGCCTTGAATCTGTATTTAGGGGTTTTTAGACCTATGAGTAGCTAAGAGGCCCAAAGCATTCATTCAAGACTGGAGAACAGGGCATGGTTAAAGGACCTGAGCTTAGACTATGGAAGGCTGCATAGGGAGTATACTTACAGAATCCCTGAAAATGCAGGATGTGAACAGACCATTAAGGACCAGTGATGGTTTGATGGGGATGAGAAGGGCTCAGCAGAGACCCGAGTAGAGATCAGAAAGGAGAAAACCCAGGGAAGGGAGCCTTCACAAAAGCCAAAGGGAGTGATCAGTTAGAAGAGGCAATCCAGGCCTTGGAGACCTGGGAAGTTCTCCCCTCGGCTGGCATGTTTCCAGAACCCCGATCATCCTCCCCACGAAAGGCTCAGATAACCTCAGATTTATTTGGACTTATTTTTTCTCAAGGGTTGAACTCATGCAGGAAATCTAGGCTGCGAATGTGAATTCCTTTCCAGATGGATGAGAGACTGAGGTGTGCCGCTTGAGCTTATCATTTTACTATAACAAAAGGACAAAACGTGGGAAGGAACTGGTGTATGAAAATAAAGCAAGTTGTCATTCTTAAGTTAAGTAAAACTCTTTACTTTTTTACTCCATCTGATTACGAAAACTATGTCTATTTAGTGACTAGTGCCATCTTCACTCTCATACAGAGAAGGGGGGCGGCAGTCAAGACTTGTGAAACCCCTTCAAAGGTGAGGTAGTGGTTTGTGGTGTCAAGAATGTCCTCTTAGTCTGTTGAGGAGGAGCATCCGGATAAGGCTTCACCCACAAACCCTGCCCACACAGATCTTCTCTCAGAGTGACCTCTGGTGCAAGACGAAGTGTAACTAATATAACTGATTGCTCAAGCATCTTACAGACTCCTTCCCCGCCTATATAAAGCTTCCCACAATACAGCTGTTCTCTGATGCATCCTGAGATGCACTTTTCCTAAATCCATGCCCGTTCTGCCCACACACACAGTTTCTATGCAAACGCTGAGGTTTGTGAGGGGTGACTATGGCCACAACCACGTCCACGCTCCTTGTACACTTAAGATGTCTTAGAGTGGAGTCCCTGGAGAGACAGGGAGATGGAGAATTAAGTGGTTTATTGGTGAATGAGGGCTGGACTGGGCAGAGGAAGAAGCTGACCTGCAATGTGTTCACAACTGAGATCTGATGGGCATCTCTCGATCCAGGATGACCCTTTGGACACAACTGAGTCCAGGGTGGAGGTTTTGTCTCCCCATAGCAGTCAACCATTGGCCAGGAGCCAGCCCTTAGGAAGGTGCAGTTCCCTGTGGCTGAGAGCAGGTCCTAGAAAAGACTTCACCTCTGCAGCATCAGCAGCCGTTATCCGGAGCTGCAGGGGTGTTGGTCCTGATGAGGTTATCTGGACAGAGCTCCACGTACCCCCACACAAGGATCTCTCTATGGCATGAGAAGAAGGCTGGCTGATCACAAGGGTTTTGCCCACAGTCCCTACGAACACGCTGCTCCTCTCTGAGTGTGCCACCTTGTGCCTGCCTGCCTCCCTGCCATTGGATATTCGATAAACATTGACTTATGGCTACCGCCTCATCCACAGTCCCCGCACACACAACGCCTCCCACTTAAGTGTGGCTAGAGTTACCCACACTTAGGCTCCTCTGCTGAATGTGTCCTCAGTGCCTGAGGAGAGTCAACACATCCCTGAAGGTACCCTCACTCCACACACACAGACCCCAGGTGTCTCTCTGGTGTAAGATGGGATTTGACTGATTGCTGGGTCTTGTCCGTGATCCCTGGAAACATGCTTTTCGCCAAGTGCTTCCTCTGGTGTGTGATGAGGTTTGACCTGTAGCTAAAGCTTCGCCCACAGTCCCCGCAAACATGCTTCTTCCCTGAGTGTGTCCCCTGGTGAATAACGAGGAATGACTTCTGGCTAAAGCTTCGACCACACTCACTGCACACGTAAGGCTTCTCCCCGGAGTGCGTCCTTTCATGTATGATGAGGTCCGACTTATAGAAAAAGCCTCGCCCACACTCCCTACACATATAAGGCTTCACGTCTGAGTGTGTCTTCTGGTGTCTGATGAGATTTGACTTGTAGCTAAAGCTTCGCCCACACTCCCTGCAAACATGCTTCTCTCCTGAGTGTGTCCCTTGGTGAATAAGGAGGAATGACTTCTGGGTAAAGCTTCGGCCACACTCACTGCACCTGTAAGGCTTCTCTCCCGAGTGTGTCCTCTGGTGTTTTCTGAGGGTTGACTTATCACCAAATCCTCGTCCACACTCCAGGCACACAAAGGGTTTCTCCCCTGAGTGTGTCCTCTGGTGTCTGATGAAAGATGACTTCTCACTGAAGCCATGCCCACACTCCTGGCATATATAGGGCTTCTCTCCTGAATGAGTCCTCTGGTGTTTTCTGAGGGTGGACTTGTAAGCAAATCCCCGTCCACACTCCGGGCACACATAGGGCTTCTCCCCAGAATGAATCCACTGATGTCTAATGAGGACTGAATTATTTCTAAAGCTCTGCCCACACTCCCTGCACAAATAAGGCTTCTCTTCTGAATGGGTTTCTGTGTGTCTGTTCAGATTGGACTTCTTGCTAAAGCCTCGCCCACACTCCTTGCACACATACGGCTTCTCTCCTGAGTGTGTCCTCTGGTGATGAACAAGGATCGCCATCAGGCTAAAGCCTCGGCCACAGTCGCCACACACATAAGGCTTCTCCATTGAGTGCGTCCGATGGTGTCTGTTGAGGTTTGACTTATTGTTAAAGCCTCGCCCACACTCCCTGCAAACATAGGGCTTCTCTTCTGAGAGGGTCACCTGGTTTACAGCAAAGTCTGATTTCAGACTACAGTCCAGTTCATGCTTGTTACAGCTGCCTACTCCGGATCTCAGGGTTCCTAACTCCGCTCCTCTGTCTGTTTGCACAGGGCGTAGCCTCTGGGCTGGCTTGGGCTCTATTTCTACCACTGTGTTGCCTTCTCTAGGACTTGCTGATTGTCTTCGGGGTGGGCTGGGAACAGCGCCTGAGGTTTCTCTCTCCTCTGTCCTCACAGACAAGGATCTGAAGCCACCTTCTCTCTCTCGACCTTTTGTGTTTTCACTCCAGCAGCTTTGAGAAGAACATTTCTGCCCCTGATGCCCTGGGCCAGAATCCCCTGGAGGGAAGTCCCGTAAGTCCAAGAAGATCGGAAGCACATGTTGGCTGAGGAGAGGCTGATGGGAGAAGGCCAGAAGGCAAGAGGAACAGGAATCTGTTTCTGGCTTTGATTCTGCCGGAGAAAGAGTGATCAGTTAGAGAAGCCCTAAGTGGGCAGCTGGCTGTTCCGCCTTGTCTTAGGACAAAGAGTATCTTCCTGCCACACCTACTATTGATAATAAATGTACAACAAAACTCGTTTTCCACCAATAATTCCTCTATATTCCATTTCTAAACATTCCATTTTCTATTACAATCCAGTAAAACCACACCAGAAACATCCTCTGCATGTCACTCAGACTAGGAGCCTCCCAGGTAAGCATCTAGCTTTGTAAACAGCTTCAACACTGTCAGCCATTTCTTTCTAGTAAATCATCTAAGCCATCGACACTCACATTGATATGCTGTTCACAATTCTGTTGTACTTGGAGGTAACAGGCTCTATGACCGACATGAAAATCTCCTTCATGACTTTTCTTATCACAGAAAACAAAAAAACAGATAAACATAAAAAGTCACTTGACCTGGAGGGCTTCCAAACACGGGAGTATGTACATGAAACAGGGGTTAAAGAGACTGCATATGAAATAAATCTGAATCTCAGGTTGTCCACCCACAAACACATACTTTTTAGAAATTTTAAGTGCTGGGTTCTCTACTAAATATTGTGGATTCTGCAGTGGACAAGGAATACATGATCCATGATTTCAGGATTTTGGCACCTTGTGCCCAAACCAATCCCGTTACAATGACTGGCTAATGGGATTTGCTTAGGCCAATGGGAGACTGGTGAAAAGTTAGTGCTACTTTCAAACATATTTTTTTAAATATGTTTTTATTGATTTCAAAGAGGAAGGAAGAGGGAGCGAGAGATAGAAATATCAGTGATGAGAGATGTTTGATCGGTTGCCTCCTGCACGCCCCCTACTGAGGATCAAGCTAGCAACCCAGGCATGTGCTCTGACCAGGAATCAAACTGGTGACCTCTTGGTTTACACGTCAGGACACTCAACCACAGAACCACCCAGGATGGGCTCAAACACATTTTAAGAGCCACCATGTGGTTTCTTTATTCCATTTTTCTCCTCTTCTTTAAGAATCCCATGACCCCGACAAAGACTGGTTCTTTTGCCTGGATTGCAGAACCCCAATGGAGCTAAACTCCTACCTGAACTGTACATAAGAGGCATTATAAGAAATGAACATTTGCTGAAGTTCTGTGTTGTTATCACAGCATTACCTAGCCTATACTAACTGAAATATCTCACCTATGAAAGCTTTAAAGATTATTTCAGGGGAAATTGGCCCACTTATTTCCAACAGTACCCTTGAAGAAGAGACATTGGAACATGAATATGTGAAGAATTACAGAACAAGAGATGAGTTTAGGAGGGAAAAGAGTATGACCTCAATTTTGGATAAGTTTGAGAATAAACTTATATTCTTATAACCAAACAGAAAAGCACAGGAGAGACAGTGACAGAGAAAATGGGTTCAATGGGTTCATCATAATATGTGATGAGCAAAATCATTAAAGTTCACAAATTGTTTAAGAGTTTGAATATAGACGACAAAAAAAAAAAAAAGAGCATGTGACACTAATCCAAAAAAAAGAGAAAGAGAAAACCAAAAAGAGAGGTGTAAGAGGCTGGGGAACTGCAGAATACTGTGGTGTCGAGCAAGACAAAGGAAACAATTTCAGGAAATCCAGTTTTTCCCTATCGAGCCTAATTTGGACCAGGTCATTTCAACATTTTCCTCTGAACCCACCAATGTATTCACATACAGAAAGAGAAAAATATGATCAGAGAAAAATAAAAATAAAATCTAGTTAGGTTGAATAGCTAAGGCCAAATCAAAACACACAAAACCAGACTGAAATGGATGAATCCAACTTAAATAGACAGCACAAACCAGATGGAACCAGATCAAAGCATATCAAAGAAGATGCAAATGGAACAAATAAAATCTGATTAACTGAGACCATGGAAAAAGCCAGGCCATCTGAGGAAACTCCTGAAGAAACTCCGGCCTGAAACTAGCTTGTGTTTCCAAAAATGTGACTCTCCAGATGCTTTATCTGGAAATATGGAAATACCCAGAACTGCATGATCCAGTACGGTAGCCACTAGCCATGCATGTTTACTGAGCACCTGCAATGTGGCGAGTCTGAACTAAGATGTGCTCTAAGCATAAAATACACACCAGATTTTGAACACTTAGTACCAAAAAGTAAAATAATTTTTCTATTGATAACATGTTGAAATAATATTTTGATATATCAGGTTAATAAGTAAGATTATTAGTTTTACCCATTTATGTCTACTTTTCTAAAGGTGGGTTACTAGGAAATCTAAAATTTTCCATGTGGCTCCCATTATATTTCTACTACATAGCGCTGATCTAGAACAAAGGGGGATGGGGAGGAACTACAGCCTAAAACCACCATCTTGCCCTCTGTTTTTGTACAGTCTACAAGCTAAGAATGGTTTTTAAGTTTTTAAAGAGTTGAAAACAAGTCAAAAGAGTAATAGTTCATGATATATAAAAATTACATGAAATTCAAAATTCAATGTCCACAAATGAAGTCTTATTGGAACACAGTCGTACTCATTTACACATCATCTGTGGCTACTTTAGCACTACTAGGGCAGAGTTGAGAGTGGTTAGAGACCATATCACCCACAGAACCTAAAATAGTCACGATCTGGCCCTTTGTAGAAAAAGTGGCCAACCCCTGAATCAGAATAACATTACAATCAAAAGTATTTATCAACCTAGACTTAAAGAATAAATGTATGTTTTTAAATAAAAGAAATAATCTGGCTTATGAAACTCAAAAGCCATACAAACTCTGACATTTAATTTCAACTTCTGTCGCAGAAGGCATTTCTCACCACTCTCCCCCTTGCTAACTGTGCTTCCAGTCTCAATTCCTTCTACCCACAGGCATATCCCTTCCTTAAGGTCTTAGCACCAAATAAGTCTGCACCTGAAATGCCCTTGCCCTGGAGAGCCAGAGTTCTAACTCCCTCACCACTTTCTGTCTTTGGTCAAATGTTCCCTCCTCGCTGACTTCAAATAACTGATTTCAAAATTCAGCCAGACACCCTGTCACACTCAATGCTCCTTTATCCTGCTTCATTTTATTATTATTTTTTTACTAGGTAGTGCTTATCCCTTTTTAACATAACATCCCTGTACATGAGCAGTTCTCAACCTGTGGGTCGAACAACCCTTTCACAGGGGTCGCCTAAGACCATCAGAAAACACATATATAATTACATATTGTTTTTGTGATTAATCACTATGCTTTAATTATGTTCAATGTGTCACAATGAAAATATATCCTGCATATCAGATATTTACATTACGATTCATAACAGTAGCAAAATTACAGTTATGAAATAGCAATGAAAATAATTTTATGGTTGGGGGGTCACCACAACATGAGGAACTGTTTTAAAGGGTCGCGGCATTAGGAAGGTTGAGAACCACTGCTGTATATGAAGCTATTTGTTGTCTGTCTCCATACACTAGAAAAAGGCCCCCTGGGCAGGGTTACTATTTCATTGACTAATGTGTTTGTTCTAAGTGTCTAGGATTTTTCTGGCACAGGATAAGTGGCCCATAAATCTCTACTGAATTAATGAAGGGAAGACCATAGCCTCACCCAACGAAAGCAGGTTCCTGTAATTCTCCAGCATCACTTCTTTGTACAGGATCCTCTGCTCAGAGCTCAGGAGCTTCCATTCTGCCTGTGTGAAGACCACAGCCACGTCCCTGAATGTAACTGGTACCTATAAAGATGCAACAGTTAATGAACAGCAAGTCATCGTCCATTTTCCCCGTGCGAGGAGTCTAACTAGTGGCCCTGGGGAGTCTTGATAGGTAAGAGTTGGTCTAATTCTTTTCAGGGTACACAGTTCTCCATATCATATTCTTCTAGCCATTACTATGGCTGTGTGTTAAAATCTGGGGATAGTGTCCAATTGGCGTGGTTCAGTGGTTGAGCACTGACCTATGAACCAGGAGGTCACAGTTCCTTCAATTCCCAGTCAGGGCATATGCCCAGGTTATGGGCTCAATCCCCAGTATAGCGCACGCAGCATGAAGCTGATCAATGATTCTCTCTCATCATTGATGATTCATTCTCATTCTCATTCTCTCTCTCTCTCTCTCTCTCTCTCTCTCTCCCCTTTCCTCTCTGAAATCAATAAAAATATATATATTTTAAAAATCTGAGGGTAGCATAACTGAGGTATACAACACATTCCTGGCCCTTGGACACTTACGATTTTTTCTGGAGAAATGATTTGTGAATCAATTTGAAACATGAAGCAGAATTCAGAAAAGTGACCCTGAGGATTCATTATGGAAGAATTCTTGAGATGGAAGAGTTCAGCATGGGCTGGAAAACTCCCATTTAAAGTAACTTTGTGCTCAGCCGAAGAGGCTCAGTTGGTTGGGCCGTTGTGCCGTGCACCAAAAGGCTGCCAGTTCTATTCCCAGTCAGGGCACATGCCCGGATTACAGGCTCCATCTAGGAGGCATGCAGGAGGTAGCTCTCACATCAATTTTTCTCTCTCTCTTCCTCCCTTCCTCTCTCTAAAAAATTCAATTAAAAACATCTTCAAAAGGAACTCTGTGTCCAACAAACAACTCATAACCAGTAAGAGGAGAATAAATTTACAATCCAAGAGGAGATTATAATTTAACACAGGACTGAAAAGTTGTTTTCATTTTACAGATCAGGAAAATTTATTTACACTTTCTCTCATTCTCATGTGAATGTATTCTTTCTTTCTCCCCATGCCTCTCTCCCTACCTATATAATTTTTTGTTGAATACTGGACATTTTAGTAAAAGTCTGTAGCAACTCTGGATACCAACCCTGCTCCCTCCCCAGGCAGCTGCTGTGGTCACTTGTTCATGTTTTCTGACTTGTGTGGACTAGTTCAAGAAAGGCTATTGTCCCTGAAACTGTGGTTTGTCAGCAGATGAAGCCTTGGACATGCACACCTGACCCTCCCCCTCCAGAAATGACAGTCTTTTTAGCAGGATTCTCTTGTGTCTCTCCGGCCTGCCTAAAATGGTATCGCACCCAGCTAGCCTCCACCAATAGCTAGCTGATTACTCTACTGTTTTCAACAACGTCTTAGGGAATAAATGGCTCCACTGTCTGCCCCAATTAAAGTCAGGCCCTGTCCCTTTTACAGGGGTAGGTTTTTTTTTAATCTGTTTTTACTGATTTCAGAGATGAAGGGAGAGAGAGATAGAAAGATCAATGATCAGAGAGAATCACTGATTGGCTGCCTCCTGCACATCCCCCATTGGGGATCAAGCCCACAACCCAGGCATGTGCCCTGACCAGGAATCGAACCGTGACCTCCACGCTCAACCACTGAGCCATGCCGACTGGGCTACAGGGATAGTTTTAAGGCCAGTATTTGAGGCTCCAGCAGGGCTCTTCTAAAACCCTTGTTCTCCCTTAAACTTTTAGCTGATTTGCCATTTTGCTTGTTGCTATCATGGATCTTGAAGCTGCCTCTTAACTGCTCACCACAAAAATCTCCATTGTTCTCAAGAGCACTCTTAGGTTTCAACATCCTTATGCTCTGTTCCAAATAAAGCCAGTGCCGTTAGGAGTGCTATACTGGCCTTTGTCCTTCCAACCTGCCTCTCCCCCTGGGCAGGGTCT